TGTGAATTGAACCCAAGAGCTACATCCCCAGTCCTTTGTGTTTATTTATTTATTTTAATTTTGAGACAGAGTCTTACTAAGTTGCTGAGAGTCTTGCCAAATTGTTGAAGCTGGCCTCAAACTTACTATCCTCCTGCCTCAGCCTCCCAAGTCACTGGGATTTCTAGCTCTAACTCTGCATATTTTATGTTTTTGATATCACAAATTATACTTTTATATTGTGTGTTCATTAAAAATTACTAAAACTATACTAATTTTAATACCTTTATCTTTCATATTATAGTTAAAAGTGATTCATGCACAATCATAACTGTTTTAGAGTATTCTGAATTAGACTATATCTTAATTTTATTTCTTAGGAATTTTCATGTTGTTAGTATCCTTTTGCTTGAATTTTAAGAACTTCCTTTAGCATTTCTTTTAAGGAATTTTTAGTGCTAATAAACCCCTACAGCTTTTGCTTGTTTGGGAAAGTGCTTTTTTTTTTTATCTCTCTTTCATTTCTGAAATACAACTATTCAGATAAAATAATCTTGTTTGGCAGTTTCCATCAATACTTTGAGTATATCATCCCAGTCTGCAAGGATTCTACTGAAAAATCTGATGTCTATATAGAAGTTCCCTTGTATGTAAGAAGTTGTTTTTCCCTTGCTCCTTTCAAAATTCTTTTTGACTTTGATTTTGTGATAATTTTATTATAATGTATATTGGTGCAGATTTCTTCAATGCTTTATCCAGTTAAGATTCTTTGGGCTATATATATCCAGATATTTATTTTCCTCTCCATTATTTTCTGTCATTATTTCTTTAAGTGAGCTTTCTATCTTATTCTTTCTGTCTGCTCCTTTTGAATTCTCTTAATGTTTGTGTTGTTTCACTTGATGGTATTACATCATCCACGTGAGGTTTTTTTCATCCCTTTTCATTTTTTTTTTTAAATTTTTTCCCCTTTTTCTGATTTCAAATTACCTGAAACTCTTTGTGGAGTTTTTGATTCAGTGATTGCTCTTTACCTTCAGAATTCGTTTGCTTCTTTTTTATGTTTTCTATGCCTTCATCAAACATCTAATTTTGTGCACGTTTTCCTGATACAAATTAGTTATCTCTGTGTATTCTCTCGAAGCTGCTTAATTTGAACTAACTGGATTAATTTGAATTATTTTTCAGGAAGTTCATAGATCTCAATTTCTTTAAAGTCAATATCTGGTGCTTTATCTTGTTCTTCTGTGTCATATTGTCTTTATTATTCAGAATCCTTGTGCCCTTGTTTTTGTGTTCATGTATTTGAAAAAGTCAGTACCTCTTCCAGTTTTTGAAGACTGGATTTAGCAAGAGAAGTCCTTTGCTAACAGCTCCATTCAGAGAGTCTAGGTGGGACAACTACCCCAGTGGACAGGACGCCTTGCTGCTGAAGTCTTCTGGCTGGCTGTCCTTGGGTCACTAGGCAGGTGGGACTAGAAAATGGTTTCACAAGAGTGGGATAAGTTTGAGCGTATGATTGCTGATTTAGTACCTGGACATATCCATGAGGGCCAGCCTGGTGCTGGGTTTCACTGGGCTATCCCTGACAACTAGTTCCATGTGGGTAAGTTTTTAAACAAATATTTTTGTTTGACAACCAAATCAATTTCTCTTTCATATGATGCCATAAGCAGTTTCCACTATTCTCCCTAAACATCAAGTTGAGAAAAAAATAAAAATAAAAACTTGTTTTGTTTTGTTTACTTTTCCTTCAAACAGAGTACTATTTTTTTGGTTTTCATAATGAAGATATCACATTCTTGGTATCCTTTAAAATTTGGATCCTCATATTTTGAAAGAAATTTGTTAACTGGAAGGTAACTATGAGAGAGCATTCTGGAAAGTGTAGAATCTAAAGGTCACATCTCGTGAAAAGTAGTCAGAAAAACTTGACTTATTTATCTTAGATAAGAGAGAAGATGAAGAGGGCACATTAAAACAGTTTTAATACAGAAGTGCTATTATTATGGAATGAATGCATCCTATGTTGTTTACAAACATTGCATTAGAACCAATAAGTGAGATTTTTTTGAAGTATTTTCTTACAAAGAAGATCATCATAAAGAAAATGAACTTCCAAGCTGTATGTGTTTGTTTTATGTGCATTGTTATTTTGAGGTATCTTTAGCATCTGGTTTTTATCAACTAATTTCAGTAAATGAATAATCCAACAACTTAAAATAGATTAGGTTAAAGACCACAAGGATATGAGATACACAAACTAGGATACATGCATATAACTTTTTTAGTTCTTTCTATCTTGTCTGTGGGCTTGCCATCATCTATGTTAATAATTATTTGCTGTGAAACCTGAATTTTCCCTGTCTGCTTGCCACTCACTGGAAAACCTTGAAATAAAAAAGAAAAGTTGGTATACATGCAGGTGTAGCAAAGATATTCACTGTTGGGTGTCCATATGAACAATTGCCTTCTGTGTTGTATTTCTTGTTATCTCTAATAGTTTGCAGTTATTTCTCTTTTGATACAGAGCTGGCAAAATTAGATTTAAATGAGTAAGGAATTGTTTTTCTCATGTTAAAAGAGGTCTAGATGTGACCATCTATTCCTAGTAATGTGATTTCACAGAAACATGAGGAACCCTGACTTCTTTGTAGATTTGTATATTTCTTGATGCCTCTTGGTTGCAAAATGACAGCCCCACTCCCAATACCACCTCCACATTCATATCCATAAAGAAAGGAATGGAAGTAAGTAGGGGAAAAGAGCATGTGGAAACCAAGTCTACCTTTTTTAAAAATGTTTTTCTGCCCAGAAACTTCCAAACATATTTCATCAATTTGGCCAAAATCACATCATACATACACATCTTAGCTATAGAAAAAAATGGAAATATAGCTATTTACCCTCTTATGCTTCAATGAAGAAATGAAAGTTGATCATAGATCCTTTAAGAATTATTCAAATAGTCATCTTATATACTGGGGTGTTCTGGAGCGTCTCAGACAGCTATCAACACCATTTTTTATTGGTCTTATTTTTTGTTTACTTTCATAACCATCTCAACTTCCCTTATCATTAGAACTTCTTGGTCAACTTTGTACCCTCTAGTGCAGTGTCACAAAGGAGATATTTATTGTGCATTTTAATGGTAAGTTTAATTTTATATACGAGGAGGAAAAAAGAGAAACCATGCATCCAGGCATGGTTATATCCCACTGTGGTGAAAACATGAATTGAATAACTTCATCAAGGACAGGCAAACTACAATATATGGACCAGATGTGGTCTACAGGCTGCTTTTGTGCACTCCGTGAGCTCACGATATTTATTACATTCTTACAGGGTTAAAAAAAAAATAAGAACATGCAACAGAATCTGTATGTACCCTGCAAATTTTTTTTTTAAAAAAAGGTCCTATCTGTCCTTTTACAGATAGTATTTAGCAACTCCCTACATAGATTTAAAAAAATAGAAATCTTTGTATTTCTATTTTTTTTCCTTAGCTATGACATGTTATTTAAGGATTTGATTATATTATCCCAGAATTTCTATTGAAATCATACTGTTCTTTGAAACTGTATATGTGAGAAAATATTCCAAACTGCCCCTCCTCCTATCAGAAAAAACAAATTGCCTACCCATTTCACAGAGAAATTGATGTTAGGACTTGCCTAAAACCCCTTACTCAAACTCATGAACTAAATTTTCAGATTTTAACTAAATTATAATTTTAATGATTTTTAAGTAGTAGTTCTGTCATGTCATTATACAAATTAAAAAAAAAAAAAAACAGGAGTTCCCAAGTAGAAATATACCCAAGACCCAGTGAATTGTATTTTCCTATTAGATAGCTGTAGTGAGTTAAATAAAGAAAACAATCTTCCTTGTCTTGATGCTTTTCTATTACCTGACTAAAACATTAAAGCTAATGATTTGGAAGGAACATGTGTAACAGTCAACTAAAGTTGCTTTATTTTAATATTGTGTATTTTTAAAGTTATTTTTAATGTTATATAAAATCTTTCCAGAAGTTCAAGAAAAACAAGGATCAATTTTGTCTTATTGGCATTGAAGCACCTAATTGCTGTAAATGGAAGGAATTTTACAAACATTCATTGTGTGTGTGTATGTGTGTGTGAGAGAGAGAGAAAAAACACATATATCAAGTCAATGGAGTTTCATTTCTATTGTTCACATCACCTTCTATTAATGATTAACTGATAATTACCTGGAAGATTGAGACGTTTTACTTTCATGTAAATTATATTTTTTCTATATAAGCTCTAATCCTTATTTATGAGTTCTGGAAAATAAAAATAAAGAAAGTGAAATTTAGGGCACTGTCATGTTTTTTGATATTAAGTATAAAGTCATTAATGGAATCAGGATCAACACTGAGGTGCTAAGTCTATAACACTACAGTGGCTCACTTGCACTAGATTTTCTTTCCCATAGATATGCATATCTAAAAATTTGGTGGATGTCTTAAATTTTTAAAAAGTCATGTATTCTCAATTAAAATGAAGGTACATAAAAATAATCCATAAATGTTCAGAATAAATTAACCAAAATATCAAAGCACACTATTGATTTATACCAAAGCAAATTCCTTGCATAACTTAAAGTTGTTGAAAATATTTCATTGAGACAATGTACTACATCAGAAAAAGAGTAAATAATAACCAGGTGGGGTGGACATGCATGTAACCCCAGTAGCTCAGGAGACCAAGGCAAGAGAATCACAAATTCAAAGCCAGCCTCAGCAATTTAGCAAATATTGTCTCTCAGAATAAAAAATAAAATGGGCAGGGTATGTGGCTCAGTGGTTGAGTGCTTCTGGGTTCAATTCCTGGTAGCAAATTTATATATATATATATATATATATTAGACCAGAGATAACGTTATGTTCTAACTTATAGTATGCCTTAAAATAAATTGCATTAATATTCCCTTGATTAGAATAAGTTTCCTAGTTAAGTATTATGAAAATATCTGTTTTCAAAGACTTTATACAGTTGGGCATCAGTTAAAACAACAAAGGCACAATTGTTATATTATCAAATTGTGGGGCATTTTTTCTCTTAAAAAAATTTCAGAGCCTTTATCAAACATAAAAGTATGTATGTCTGAATTTATTATCTAAAATTTCTGTGAGAAAAACAAGGAATTCTTCTTATCTGAATCCTGGCCAGGATTGGTTCTGAATTTATTATCTAAAATTTCTGTAAGAAAAACAAGGAATTCTTTTTATCTTATTTACTTTTAGCCACTGTGTTTCTGTTTATAGCATCTGAAATGCTCTCATCAGAACAAGGTCCTCAGAATTGATAAGTCAAATCCACAGGCTCAGGCAGCTAGGTGACTAGCAGAGGCCAGAGTCCACTTGAAGTGTGCACACTCACAGAGGTCAAGTTTAGATCCACTCCATCTGACTATTTCTTTTAACACTGATTTAACAGCAGCTCTCTAACAGGGTTTACCCTCAAACACCAGAAACATGCATTGTGCCATCCAAAAGGCAGAAGCACTGGATGGGAATCACTTGATGCAAATCCTCTGGAATGATGGGACAGAGTCTCTCTACCCAGCTGTATGGCTGCGAGACAACTGCCAGTGCTCCGATTGCTACCTGGATTCTGCAAAAGCACGGAAACTTCTCCTGGAAACCCTTGATGTGAACATTGGTATTAAAGACCTGGAGTTTGACAAAAAGAAGGTAATACCTCTAAAGAACCACTTCCTTCTCTTCCAAACAAATAAAGGGGCTAGTCTAAAATAAGTCAAATAACTTGTTTTTAATGTGATTATGTATATTCCAACTATAGGATCATGTTCATGTAGTGCTCAATGCAAATTAAGCATACTCAGTAAATGAAAGTATAAGCTATTATTATTACTTGTACCATTTTTAATACAATCTGCATTATTGCTCTTTATTCTTTCCATGAATGGCATTGAAGACACAACTATGTCAGTGGTTTTGAGCCTCAGTTTATTCATTTGTAAACTAGGGGTTCTAATAAAATTTGTTCATAGTAACGCTGTCAGGACTCAATGAGATAAAATGGCTAAAAAAGAATAGTTTAACATACTGCTCAATATACAGTGGACACTCAAAAAATAGTACTGATGACTTTTTTTAAATTTATCAATGTATTTTTTATTAGTTGGTAGTTGTGTAAAGTTTTGCCCTGAAAGAATAGTTTTAAAAACCAAATGATAAATGACCAAATTTATCAGAATTCTTATCAGAAGGGAAGATTTTAGCAGAAAGGGCATATTTTTCCCATTCTTTTATCTTTGTCTCAACCTGAGGACCAGGTGTTCTCACTTTTATTAGTAATATTATTTCTGTCTCATTACCATTACTCTTTCTAATACCCTTGCCAGGAATCGTAATTACTATCTAACTCCAGTCATCACAGGATATTTGGGGATCACAAGTTTAGAGAATGTAGAAAAAAGACTTTGGGTCAAGCCAAATTCTACTTTTTGCATAACTATTTTGGTGGACTCATCCTCAGATGACTTGACTTGCAAGGGATAACTAGATTCCCTGAACACCTTAAATAGCATTGAGAAATGGTGCAACCAGAGAGGACACAATTATTTGGAAGTATAATGTACACTTAGATGATATTTTCTTTCTATTACAACAAGGTGAATATCACATGGCCGAATGAGCATTGCAGTGAATTTGAAGCTGATTGGCTGAAGAAAAGATGTTTTTCCCGGAAGGCCAGAGCAAAACTTCAGGAAGAATTGTTTTTGCCAGGTAATCCTGCTACAGTCTTCAAAGCCACTTAAAACCCTTACTATCAGTAAGGGTCTTTTTAAAAGAATTATTTTAATTGTACATAATGGGGGGGGGTACTCTGATAATTTGATGCATGTATAAATTTCAAATCAGAGTAGTTAGTAATTTTATGGCACATACTTATGAAGTGCACTATGATATTTTAATACATAAATATCCAGATATGATCTGTATTTCTACCTCTTGATCATGACTTTGTAAGGATTTCATGGTAAGGAATTTGCTCAGCAACAAATTCAAACCCTATGATTTTTAAAAAATAATATTGCCACTTATATAAAATGTTTAAA